CTTCCTCTCCCCCTCCTCTCTCTCTCCCCCTTCTCTCTCTCTCTCTCCCTCCCTCCCTCCCTCATGCTCTACCCTCTTTCAAAATAAATAAAGTTAAAAAATAGTGCAAACTGGACACAGGCACGCGCATGTCAGGACACAGGAGAAGAGGGCCGTGTGCAAGCCAAGGAGCGCGGCCTCGGAGGAGGCCGGCCCCGCCCCCACTTTGGCCTCGGACTCGGTCCCGGGACCCTGAGCCGAGCCCCTTGTGTCCTGCGTGGCAGCGGAAGCCGCGTGAAGACGGCTGGGGGGGGGGGGGCACGGAGGCCCGCAGAGCCGCCGACTCACCGCAGGCTCCGAAGTCTGCAGCCGGGGTGTCGGAGCCCCCCGCACAGCAGCCGCACCCCGCGGCCGCCCAGGGCGGCGCGGCACAGCGCCAGCTCCTGCAGGCGCGGGTTGGCGCTCAGCGCGGCGGCCAGCTGTCGGCTGTAGGCCTCGGGCAGCTCGCTCTCGCTCGTCTCGGGCCTGCGCGAGCGAAGACACACTCGTGGGTCCCTCACGAGTCACACGCATTTGTCCCTCTGTGTCTTACTTTTTTATTTTCATTTATTCATTTTTTTAACGTTTATTTACTATTATTTTCTTGTCGTTGTTAAAAATTTGTTTAACGTTTTATTTATTTTTGAGAGAGAGACAGCGTGAGCAGGGGAGGGTCAGAGAGAAATGGAGACACAGAATCCGAAGCAGCTCCAGGCTCCGAGCTGTCAGCACAGAGCCCGACGCGGGGCTTGAACCCACGAGCCATGAGTTCCTGACCTGAGCCAAAGTCAGCCCCCCAACCAACAGAGCCACCCAGGCACCCCTATTTTTTACTTTTTTAAAGTAGGCTCTGCGCCCAATGTGGGGCTTGAACTCCCAGCCCTGCGATCAAGAGTCTCACCTTCTTTGACCCAGCCAGCCAGGCGCCCCCTACGCGTGCATTTAAAATATTCCACTATAGAGGCACCTGGGTGGCTCAGTTAGTTAAGCATCCCACTTCAGCTTAGGTCGCGATCTCACGGTTCATGACCTCAAGCCCCACGTTGGGCTCTGTGCTGACAGCTCAGAGCCTACTTTGGATCCTCTGTCTCCCTCTCTCTGTCCCTCCCTCGCTCATACTCTCTCTCCCAAAAATAAATCAAAACATAAAAAAAAAATGTCCTGACTCACATGATACAGAATAAAACACGCAGCCAATAAAGTCTCCTGATCTACTTCTGGTTTTATAGTCGGCCTTAAAACCTATGTTTATAATATATTTATAATTATTACATATAAGGTTATTGCATATACATATACGCAATTATATATACAATTATATATTTTACGTAAATATATAAATAAATATTTAAATATATAAGATTGTGTGACCCCAAAACCCTAGAGGCCTCAACTGTGACAGAGCTCTATGTTCTGCTGGGTTTAACAAATCACTGCACACAGTGTCCACACTGTTAGGAAAACATCACGGCGTAAAAGTGACATCTAGCATCTGTCAATTTCTGACCCTGCATGCAACTAACCCGTCACTGAACATTTACAACAAACCCAAAAAGGCAGGCGTTGGAATCCCATTTTCCACACCAAAAGACTGAGTGAGACTTGACAAGCAGAAGTGACTTGCCCGAAGCCACACAACCAGGGAGCGGTGGAGCTGGGGTTCTAAGCCACGTGCGTGTGACTCCAGACCCTGGGCTATTGGCCGCCATGACCTTCTCGCATCCTGAGGCACAATAATATAAAGTCCTGGGCACATGGCCCCACAGAAGAGAATTTAGTGTGCATTTATGGCATCTAGGTCAGTGCGGAAGCTAGTTAACAGAACTGTGATTCCACGTGGGATGAAGAATCGTGAAGAGCCAGGCAGTGGAGGCACTGGGAGTGAGCCTGCAGTCGGAGTGAGATGTCAGCACATCGACTTTATTACCTGTATTTCCTGGTCCTAGACGCCTCTGCTTCCTGGACTGTCACATGGCTGAAGTCAGAAGCAAGCCACCTGGAAGACCTTGAGAGCCGACCCCCCACCCACCTACACGTGACTCACCCACAGCCCAAGAGCCCTGCCCCCCTGCCTCAAGGAGGGGGTGGAGAAACCTCTCAGCCCTGTTGGTTCCCTTTGTTGGCTGTCTGCCTTTCCTTCTGTGTCTTCTCGACTTTCTGGGACCATCTCCCAAAGTAAGGGCTTCCAGGGGACCAGAATATGCCACCCCCAAATATGCCACTTTGGCATAAGGATTATTTTGAGTTTAAGGCAAACGAGATGCAGAAAGAAATCTTCCCATATCTGACCACTTCTGAAAGCGAGGATTCCCGTAGGTCCCCTCTCCTGGGGACGTTTTATGGCCACGAAGATGGAAATACCTTGAGCTGAGAAGGGCCACTGACCCCTTACCCCACCATCCAACTCTTCTTCCCTGAGAGCAGATGGGTCTCCCATGTGAAGTCTCCTCCCTGTACCAGAATGAAGGGAGGCATCCTGACCACCAGAGAGTGAATTCAGGACCAAGAAACCTAAATAAACGAACCTTGTTACTTCTTCACTGTTGACTGCCCCCAGTCCAGAGCGCTTTGTCTGGTCCATTCTTTTTTTTTTTTTTTAAGTAAACTCTACTCCCAACCTGCGGTTCAAACTCACAATCCAGAGATCAAGAATCACACACTCCACTGACTGAGCCAGTCAGGTGCCCCTAATTTCAGACTTCTTTTTTTTTTTTTTAAGTTTTTACTGATTTATTTCAAGACACAGAGAGAGCTTGAGTAGGGGAGGGGCAGAGAGATAAGGGGACAGAGTGTCCAGAGTGGGCTCCATGCTGACAGCAGTGAGCCTGACGTGGGGCTCGAACTCACAAACCATGAGATCATGACCTGAGCCGAAGTCAGATGCTTAACCGACTGAGCCACCCAGGCACCCTGTCCACAGAGATCTTTTAATGTAGCTCCCTCTGTAATGACATTTATAAAGTTGATTCAAAATTCAGCCTGACATGTCCTCAGATGTCAATTCTTTGCAAGTTGATTGTTTTTCACCTGAATGAATGACAGCTTCCTGCTTTGATGCAGGAGGAAAAAGCACATGTAAAAATTCATTCAAATGTGTCTGCTTCTCTCCTGCGAATCTGTCTTATATCAGTTTAATTCCCAACCAGAGACCCAAAGAAGGAAGAGGAGAATTTTCCTCCCCTACAGCCCCCAGATGGATCTGTACAAACACACCTTGCCCCATCCCTTTCCCCCGTGTTTCAGCCTTTCCTCAGTTAGCCTCCAGAGAAACAGCGTCCTTTTCCTTTGTGTCACCATATCTCTAAAAATGTGTTAGGATGCTATAAAAGCCCAGGTTCTAGTCAGTCCTTTGAGTTACTCCTCTCTGGATACTCCCATGTGTAAGTGCAGATGAATAATAAACCTTTTCTTTAATGCCCAACCTGGGGCTTGAACTCATGACCCCAAGATCAAAAGTCACATGTTCTACCAACTGAGCTAGCCAGGTGCCTCAGAATTAGTAAACAACTAATAAACTTCTTTTTGTTTTTCTGTGTGAGTCTTTTGTAAGTTTAATTTACAGGCCCCCACTCAGTACCTAAGAGGGTGGAAGGAAAAAGGATGATTTTCCTCCCTTATTCTACTTACATTCAAATCCTTTTGTCTAAGATTACTCCTTGGGGAACCCAAACCAAAGCAAAGTCTTAGTGGCGGGGGGGGGGGGGCGCCTGGGTGGCTCAGTTGGTTAAGCCTCTGACTTCGGCTCAGGTCATCATCTCACAGTCCATGGGTTCAAGCCCTGCGTCAGGCTCTGTGCTGACAGCTCAGAGCCTGGAGCCTGCTTCGGATTCTGTGTCTCCCACTCTGTCCCTCCCCCACTCACACTCTGTCTCCATCTCAAAAAAATTTTTTTAATTAAAAATAAAAGTCTTACCCAAAAAGCCAAAAGAGGCACTTCCTGAGAAACTTCTCCCTTCATCCACCCCCTTCCCACCGCCCAGCCCTCCAAGTCGCTGCCTGTCACATGGCCCTGTTTTATCTTCCTCATAACAAGAGTCTCTCTAGCCTAACGGTCAATGTTTGTTTGCTTGATTGGCTGTTACTTTATTTACTGTCCTTGGCGCTCTCCCTTCCCATCGGGGCGCTAGTCCTGCAGGGGGCGCCGCTGCCTGGTCCACACGGTCCTGGCTCTACAGAAACGGGCCCCGTGACAACACGGGTTGGCTGGAAACCCTATCGGGGCAGGGGCCCCGATTTCATCCCAATGAGTCTTGTTCACGAGCAGGACACTAACCTGGACACTGCTGACATGTGGGACCAGACCATGCTGTGCTGTGGGGGCCGTCCTGGGCACCCCTCCAGATGCCACAGCACCCCCACCTCTAGATGTTACCACCCAACGTTTCTCCCCATGTTGCCAAGTGTCTCCCGGGGTGCTGAGAACACGACCCTGGAGAGAGGGCCCCAGCGGTACTCACGACGGTGCGGGCGGCGCCTGGGGCCCGGAAGCCTGTGTCCCCGCGTGGTGCCCGTCCGTGCTGTAGGCGGCCCCGTGCAGGTGCACGGCCAGGGCGTTCCTGCAGTTCTTCACGCACAGGGAGGCAATGGTGTGCTCCATCCTGGTGGCGATGTTGCTGACCACGAGCACTCGGAAGTGGCTCAGGGCTTGCTGGATGAAGTCCTCCTCCTGGACCTCGTACAGGCAGCTGAGGAGCTCCAGGGAGCCCTGCTGCAGGGTGGAGGCCTCGCTCTGAGCTTTGCTTTGGATCCAGTCCAGCACCTCCAGCTTGACGTGAGGCGAGACCTTCCAGCACAGCGTCTTCTCCAAGGAGCCCCTCGTCTCCTCGTTCAGGAGGCCAAACAGGAAGCGGACGGTGAGCCCCAGGAAGCTCCTTTCCGAAAACCCGTACTCGGCCAGCAGCCTGGCCACGCTGGGCTCCGGGCTGGAGCCGCCCTCCCCGGCGTCCAGGATGTAGTACATGGCGGCGAAGAACTCCTGGAAGCTCAGGTGGATGAAGCTGTAGAACTTTTCACAGTTGATGTCCTTCTGGAAGATGTTCATGTTGAGGAAGGAGGAGACATCTGCCCCATCGAGCCCATGCTTCCGGAGGTCCCGCTCCTCAAACAGGATCTTCTGATTCCAGAGGCCGTCGGCCGCCAGGGAGCACAGCCCCCTCTGGTTGGGTGGGGGGCCCGGGGTGGGGCTGCCCGGCTTGGGCTGCATCAGGCTCAGGAGGTAGAGCGTGTACACTGCCGTGGTGGTCCTGGAGGTCTGTGGTAGGAGCCCCCCGTCGTCCAGCTGCTGCTTGAGGCAGGTGCACACAACCCAGCACACCATGGGGACGAAGCACAGAGTGAACAGCGGCTCATTGTCCCTCACGAAGTTGAAGACCTGACCGGCCTGCTCCGCGTCGTGGAAGTACTTGTAGCAGTACTCCTGCCTCTCCGCCTCCGAGAAGCCCAGGATCTCCACGTGCCTGGGGTGCTCCAGCAAGCGCTGCAGCTTCTCCAGAGCCGTGGGCCGGGTGGTGATGATCATGGACAGCTCGGGCAGCAGCTTCTTCTGGAGCAGGCTGCTGAGGAGCAGCTCCGTGGGCCCTCTGTCCTCCCAGCGGAGACACCAGGGTCCCTGAGGGTCGTGGAAAGAGGGTCTCAGCTCATCGAAGCCGTCAATGATGAACAGAAGGCGCTCGGGGACTCGGACAAGCTCCCGGAGGGGCGCGCTGGGCTCCGGCCAGCAGCTGGAGATGAGGTCCCGGGCGCTCTGCTCCGCGGAGCCCCGGTTCATCTCCCTGCAGTTGATGTAGAAGACGTAATCAAACCTGTCTTGGAAGAGCTTCCCGTCGGCCCAGTCGAGCATCACCTTGCGCGCCAGCATGGACTTGCCCATCCCGGCCGCGCCCTGCAGCACCACGGTGCGCGGCGGCTCGGGGCGCTCCTCGTCCGGCTCGAAGAGGGTCTCCATCTGGATGAAGCTGGCCTGGGGGCCCACGGCTCTCGACTGTCCCCCGCCGGTGTCCAACAGCTTCCGCTGCGCCCACGTGGGAGTTGAGTGCTCCTTCACCAGCAGGAGGCGCGTGTACCTGCGGCTGAGGTTGACGCATTCCCCGAGGCGCGCATTTCTGTCTTCCATCAGCCGGAACTTCCTGCGGACGTGGTCCCTGTAGGTTTCCCGGGGATCTAACAGAGAGGAAGGAGGAGGGGCCCGTGGGAGGCTCGTCAGCCGCTGTCCACGGATCGGCGAGTTAAGCCGAGCCCGGTCCCGGAGTGCCGTTCGTGCCGCCGCGCCCTCGCGCACGGGCGCCCACCCCGGCGAGCGCGGCCCCCGCGCGCCTCTGGACGAGCCTGCCGGCCCCAGCCGCGGGCTCGCCGCGCGCTCCCGGGGCGACACGGAGGCCCACGCGGGCCCACGCGGAGCCACTCGCACCGCCACCCCAGCGACGCACCACGAGCTGCGTCCCTAACAAGCCTGATTTGCTTGCACGCGGAGGGCTGGAGACGGCGGCGCGGATGAGGTTTAAAAGGCAGCCGCCGTGGACCCTGGAGAACTCGTCTGCTCCGGAAGTCCCTTGCCAAACGTCTCTCTGGGGAAACCTACCTGGTATAGATGTGAATGCGTAATGGACAACACGGACTCACCAGGATGGTTGTGTCCTCCGCTAGGCGGTTTCTAGCAAGGTCTGGAGATATTTTGGGCCGCAGCAAGTGGGGGACGGGGGCCAGCTACCACCATCCAGTTGGGGGGAGGCCAGGGGTGCTGTTTGGACACCCAAGGGCACAGGACGGCCCCACAACAAAGAATGATCCGGCCCAATCTGGCAGCAGTGCAGGGGACTCTGGTCCAGAGAAAAATGCATCCCTTCTGGGGGCGCCTGGGGGTTCATCCAGTTCAGCACCTGACTCTTGATTTCGGCTCAGGTATTGATCTCATAGTTAGTGAGTTCGAGCCCCGCGTTGCACTGTCAGTGCAGAGCCTGCTTGAGATTCTCTCTCTCCCTCTCTCTCTGCCCCTCCCCTGCTCTCTCTCTCTCTCTCTCTCTCTCTCTCTCTCTTTCTCTAAAAGCAACAGCAACAACAACAAAACCAGACTTTTGCATTTGAATGTCCCCAGAGGCCCAATCTCCCCCCAAAGGAAGGTTAAAAAAGAGACCTAAATTTGACCCTGGGACCCTCTCAAAAGGAATGCATATACTCTTTTATTTTGAATTCCAGTAAAATATACATAACATAAAATGTAGCATTTAAACCTTTTTAAGGGTATGACTGACTCAGTGATATTAACTGCGTTCACGACGTTGTGCAGTCATCAGCATGGTCCATTTCCAGAAATTTTTCATCGTCCTCAACAGAAACTCTGTGCTTATTAAACAGACTCCCCATCCCTCCCCTGCCCCCAGCCCCTGGTCCACTCGGTCCTGTGTGTGACTGCTTTAGGTGCCTCATATGAGTGGAATCACACAATGTTTGTTTTATCATGTTGGCTCATTTGACTTAGCATAATGTTTTCTTTTTCTTAAAACCCAATGTAGGGCTTGAACCCTGAGATCAAGACCTCAACTGAGATCAAGAGTCTGACACTTAACCCACTGAGCCACCCAGCACCCTTGACTTAGCATAATGTTTTCTAAGTACATCCATGTTGTAGCAAGTATCAGAATTTCATTCCGTTTTAAGTCTGAATAATATTCCATTGTATATATACACCATATTTTGTTGATCCGTTCATCTGCTGATAGTTATTTTATTGCCTCCCTTAATGTGTATTAATAAATATTAATAAATATACTTCTGGGTTTATAAATACACCAATTGCAATTGTCTTTCGTCAACATTGATTCTATTTCATGTAGAAAACATTTTTAAAATGTTTTGTTATTATTGTTTTTTACTGTTTGTTTATTTTTGAGAGAGAGAGAGACAGAGCATGACTGGGGAAGGGACAGAGAGAGAGGGAGACACAGAATAGGAAGCAGGCTCCAGGCTCTGAGCTGTCAGCACGGAGCCCGACATGCTGAACTTGGCTTGAACTCACCAACTGGGAAATCATGACCTGAGCCGAAGTCAGAGGCTTAACCAACTGAGCCACCCAAGTGCCCCAACATCTTTTTTAATTAAACAAAGATAATTGTGACAGTAATGTTTGGATTCTGTAGAAGTCTTAATCTATTTCCATAGAGAAAGGGTTCTTATTTTGAGACATGGGGAATATTAGGAAAATAGAAAAGTTTAAAATAATGATGAGAACGAAAATGGAGTTACAATATTTTGACTATGTGCTATGTCCAGTGCATTAAGACACCCTGAAAGGTGTCCAGAATCGTCTGTGTTCTTGTTGACATTGAAGCTCTCTGTCCACCCATACTCATTTCTTCCTCACCAACGGTCCCAATTCTATTAAGGTGATGGGTGCTGATCTTTTTTTTTTTTTTTCCCCTAAGTAGTGTCTACACTGAACGCAGGGCTCAGACTTAACACCCCAGAGATCAAGAGTTGCACACTCCACTGACTGAGCCGGCCAGGTGCCCTTGTTGCTGATGCCTTGATTCTACCATATGCTGTCTGTTCACAAGCCCCAGGGGATGAATCACAGTTTGGCCAAACCAGTCATGAACAGTCTAATTCCCTGTTGCCAGTGGCTGGTCTGGGAATGTGCCCCAGTCCTGACCAATAAGGTAGAAAGGGATGACCACTGAGAAGGGGGAAGATTATTGAAAGGATTTTATTCCTGGATAAAATTATACTCTCTCGGGGCACCTGGACGGCTCAGTCAGTTGAGCATCCGACTCTTGATCTTGGCTCAAGTCATGATCTCACATTTCATGAGTTCAAGCTCCGCATCGGGCTCTGTGCTGACGATATGGAGACTGCTTGGGATTCTCTCTCCCTCCTTCTCTCTCTGCCCCTTCCCTGCTCTCTTTCTCTCTCTCAAAAGAAAATAAATTTCAAAAAATGATACTCTCATGAAGAAGAAAAACTTTTATCTCCCTGTTTTTCCCTGCTTGGAATTCACTCGCACGAAATGGTTTGATTGCCATCTTGGAACCATGAGGTGACAAGTCTTAGGACAAATAGAACAGCGGGAAGTTGGGGTTTGATGGTGTTGCTAATCCACCACATAAGGCAGAGTTTATGTGTGGAAACCACCCAAGCCGAGATTTCTTGTTACATGCAAACATGAAGTAAGCATGTTTTTGCTTAAACTACTCCATTGGATAGTCTGATACGTGTAGTCTCATGTGTTCTATGAGATACACGGCTCATGGCTCACCTTTCCTTGGAGTTCCAGGAAAGACTTCCAGAGAACATGCTGACTGGCTCCCCAGTGAGGATGGGCCATCAGGTGGAGCATCTGGAAGAGAATTTTCGGAAGATCAGCTAGGCATATATCTGGCTAGCTCTCAATAATATTAGCTACTTTGAACACCTGAAGCTAATATAACTTATGTGTCAATTTAAAAAATAGTTACTATTACATCAAACTGTCTACATGATAATTCTCTGTCCATCCACACCCCAGAATGAGTGGCCTTCACCTCACGTACATTTCTGTTGAAAACACTTGCTCTTCATAACCCACTCTCCTTCCTGGGTACTCATGGTTACTGGCACCTCCATCCATCCAACAAATCCTTTCAGGCAGGTAGTTGTGAGTCAGCTTGGATTTCCTTCCTCTCCTTCAATCCTTGGTCATGTCTCATCCATCCACCCACCCACCAATCCATTCATCTGTCCATCCATCCATCCACCCACTGATCCATTCATCCATCCATCCATCCATCCATCCATCCACCCACCCCATCTATCCATCCATCCACTCATCCATCCACCCACCCCATCCACCCACCCATTCATCCATCCATCCATCCATCCATCCATCCATCCATCCATCTATCCAAGAAATATACGCATATTGGGCACCAGCGGTATCCAGGCATTTTCTTAGCATTGGATACACAGCAACAAATAAGATACAAGGTCTCTGCCCCATAGGCCTTACATTCTATGGCGCGGGGACTTGAGCACATAAAAAATAAACATAACACATAAACACTTCAGGGGAGCCTGGGTGGCTCAGTCAGTTGAGCATCTGACTGTTAATTTCAGTTCAGGTTGTGATCCCAGGGTCATGGGATTGAGCCCTACATCAGGCTCTGCACTGAGTGAGGAGCCCGCTTAAGATTCTCTCTCTCTTTCTCTCTCTCTCTCAAAAAAAAAAAAAAAAAAAGGTAAGCGCTTCATAAAACTTCAGATAATTGTCTTTACAATTAAACAAGTGTACATGACAGAGTGATTGACAGTAGTATTTTAGTTTGGGGGGACAGGAACGGCTTTTCTGCAGATGTATTGTAAGATAAAAAATTCCAAGTACTTCCTGGACATCTTGAGCCTCGCAGGACCCCAGAGTGTGAGTTCCAGTGCTCTGGCCAGGTGTGTCCTCACCCAGTGAGACAGTCTGCCCCCTTGGCTGGTTTTCCTACCAGAACTGGCCCAGCTGTGCTACGCCCCATCCCCACCTCCGGGACAGACTGCACCTCACTGGGCCTCATTCTCCTGAGTTCCAGTCCCCTGCCGGCTCATGAAATTACCCAGACGAGCCAATCTCATCCTCCGTCCCCCTCACTCCTCTATCTACAAAGGCTGCCTCCCGCAGCCCCTTCAGATTCACTGCCTTCCTGAAGTCAACGCAGTGAGACTCTCGCGGTGCCCGGGGGCCCCTCCCCTAAGCTGTGTGTGAGTGTATGCGACTAATGTTGTCGGTCTCATGGGTCCAGTGTCTGGTGTCTGTGTTCAGCCGTCTAAAACCACTGAGGGCGGGATCTGCCTCCTTCACCAGAGGGGTGAACGGGCGCGATCCGAACAGAGGATAAGACGCTTAATCTGAGATCTGAATGGCAAAGGGCCAGGTATGAGCAGGGGCATGCTAAGCAGAAAACAAACAAAGAAAGAAACAAACGAACAGACACAGCAAGTGTAAAGGTCCTGGGGAAGAAGAGAAGGACACAATCGAGGAATGAAGTTGTAGAGCAATGAGCTTCAAGGAAAGTGCTGGGTGAGTTTGGAGAGACAGGCTCAGTGGGCCTTGCAGGAGCCTGTTGAGGAATTTGGATTACAATCTATCCACAGCAGGAGGCTCTTGGAGGCTTCCAAGCAAGGGAGGGGGTGATTTGATCACTGGTTGTGAAGATGATGGCGACTGCTGAGTGGGGAAAGCCTGCAAGGGGTGGGGAGCAAGCGTAGCAGGAGGCAGGCAGCCACGGGCGAGGTGAGTGAGCCGCTGGGCGGCAGCGGAGGGAGGAAATAACAAATTGAAATGAAATATTAGAGTGTTTGGCATTGAGAGAGAGAGCATGAGCAGGGGAGGGTCAGAGAGAGAGGGAGACACAGAATCCGAAGCAGCTCCAGGCTCTGAGCTGTCAGCACAAAGCCTGACTCGGGGCTCGAACTCACAGACCTGTGAGATCATGACCTGAGCCAAGGTCGGACGCTTAACCGACTGAGCCACCCAGGCGCCCCAAATGGTGGTTTTCTGAGCCTCCGTTTTCTCACCTCTATAATGGGGGCAATGATAATCATATCCATCACACAGCATTTACCACACATAGGTGCGCGCCATGTCCTAGGAGGGCATCAGAAGGGTCGGTTAGCAGCCCAACTCTCTTAGGACAGGCGCCACAGCCAGGGTGAGCCAGCCAGGGTGGCTGAGGGCGGGGTGGCCCAGGGCGGAGGAAAGAACTCGCACAGAAGGCATTGCCTCTCGGGGTCTCTGGATAAGGGGGGATTTCCCGCAAAGACCGCGGAGCGAGGGCGTTGCGCACAGAACGCAGCCCCAGCGAGGCCGAGAGCGGGGGGGGCGCGAGCCGTGGAGGGGACCCGTCGGGGGCGCCTCCTTACCCGTCGCCGGGCCCTCTGCCTGTCCTCGCTCCCACAGGTCGCGCCGGTGGATGCGCTGGAAGAGGCGCAGCGCCAGCGGCCAGGCCGCGGCCGGCCCGCAGCGCGCCACGAGCAGCTGCGCCGTGTCCAGCGGCCCCGCGGCCTCCAGCCGCCCCCGGGGGAAGCCGCCCGCCCCGGCCTCGGGCGCCGCGCTCAGGAACAGCTTGAACTTCTTCAGCTCCGCAGCCTCCAGCTCTTCCAGGTAGGCTGAGAGGCGACAGAGGCTGTCGCAGAGCGGGGCTCGGGGCATGGGGGCGTCCTGAACCCCAGGGGACGGCAGCCGGCGCCTAGGGGGTGTCCACGCAGGCCAGGGTTCCACCAGCCCACCGATCCGCCCGGGAGAGACTGGAGGAGCCGGGGGACAGTCCCGGTGATGAAATAGGGCTTCCTCACCCTGCAGGTGACAGCACGGGCCTCACGCCAGTGGGTGTTCCCTTCCAAGAAGAGGAAGCGGGCAGATTAGGAAACCCCAGGAGCCATTCCACCCTGAGAAAGAATTTCACTTCTGCTCCCTCTTCCTGGCTTCGACATCCGACCTAGGGCCCCACTGCCCAGCCTGCGGCTTTCCTTGCCTCCCCCTGCCTGTGGGCCTTTGGGTTATTAGCAAGCTAGTGAGTGCCCCTCCTTGTGGTTAGAACCCCTTTCTGCTGGGACTTGGACAGGCCACCCGCATGGGGCAGACGGCTCGTGAGCAAGCGTGAGTGTGAACCTCAGCCCGAGTGAGCCAAACTCTTCTAGGTGTTGACTTGCAGCATCTGCGATTTCCTCTTTTCTCAGCCATACCCGGGGGGGGGGCGGGGGGGGGACTGTGTGGTAGGCAGAGTCGGGTCCCCCGAAGGTGTCTGCGTCCCCATCCCTGAAGCCCGTGATGTGCTACCTTACAGAGCAAAAGAGACTTCGCAGATGCGGCTAAATGCAAGGCCCGTGAGGTGGGGACGCTGCCCGGGAAGGTCCGGGTGGGCTCAGCACGGTCACAGAGAGGACCTGAGTTGCAGTGCGACGCAGCTGGGAGCCCAGGGCGGACCGACGTGATGGCTGGCTGGAAAAGGCGAGGAGACGCGCTCTCCCCCAGAGCCTCCGGTGGAGCAGCCTGCTGACACCCCAAAGTCACAAAGGTGGAGAAGGTGCAGGGCTCACTGGTTACTGCCCCGGATGTCAGCCCAGACTGACTGGCACAGGGACGTGATGACTTTTGGAGACAGTCAGAGCAGCGTTGCTTCACTTAGGATGCCGATGGCTGGAACCAGATATCCAGTTCCGATGCCTTAAACAAAGAGGAAAAACAAACCACAGCTGCAAGAAATAATATGGATAAAGCCTACGGGCATAATGTTAAGCAAGGGAAGCCAGATATTAAAAAGCGTGTTTCTACATGCACCTGGGTGGCTCATTCAGTTAAGCATCCGACTTGGGCTCAGGTCATGAGCTCACAGTTCATGAGTTCGAGCCACCCATTGGGCTCTGTGCTGACAGCTCAGAGTCCAGAGCCTGCTTCAGATTCTGTGTCTCCCTCTCTCTCTGCCCCTTCTCTGCTCGTGCTCTCTCTCTCTCTCTCTCTCAAAAATGAATAAACATTAAAAAAATAAACATTAAAAAATTTTAAAATGTGTTCTATATAATTACATTTGTATGAAATTCCAAAACAGGTAGAGCTACTGTACAGCATTAGGAGCTAGATATCAGCTACCCTAAAGGGCGCCTGGGGGCTCAGTCAGTTAAGCGTCCAAGTTCAGCTCAAGTCATGATCTCACAGTTCGTGGGTTTGAGTCCCATACCTGTGCTGACAGCTCAGAGCCTGGAGCTGCTTCGGATTCTGTGTCTCCCTCTCTCTCTGCCCCTCCCCCACTCACACTCTGTCCCCCCACCTCTCTCGTTCTCAAAAATAAACATTAAAAAAAATGTTTAATATATTGGCTACCCTGGGAATGGAGCCCAATTAGCCCAAACAGGTTTTTTAAAAAAATATTTATTTTTGAGAGAGAGAGAGAGAGCACAAATGGGGAAGGGTCAGAGAGAGAGAAGGAGACAGAGGATCCTAAGTGGTTCCGTGCTCACAGCAGAGAGCCTGATATGGGGCTTGGAACAACCCATAAGCCATGAAATCGTGACCTAAGCCAAAGCCGGTCGCTTCCCTGGCAGAGCCACCTAGGCGCCCCAAAGCCCAGACAACTCTGACAACCATTTTCTTCCAAGCGACTAGAACAGCACCTGGAGCACAGTCAATGCCCGTTATATTTGATGAACCACACAATGAGTGAGTCACACAAGCGTATAACATTGTACGTGACCCAAGATGGAGACATTGCCTAACGGGGGGCACAGTTCGGAGAAAAAAAATAAATAAACGTATTTTGTTAAACTACTTGGAATGGAAAATGAGACTTTAATTTTTTTTAATGTTTATTTAATTTTGAGAGAGACAGAGCACGAGCGGGGGAGGGGCAGAGAGAGAAGGAGACACAGAATCCGAAGCAGCTCCAGGCTCTGAGCTGTCAGCACAGAGCCCGACGCGGGGATTGACTCACGAACCCTGAGATCATGACCTGGGCCAAGTCACCCAGGCGCCCCCTGTTGCCTCACTTTCATATGGAAATTGTGAAGTGCTTGATGGAGGGTGGGGAATCTCATGGAAAGTTGTGCAGGAATTTTTAAATTATAATTATTGGTCTGGATTGGTCAGGAGGATAAGACAGTCGGAGCGAAGTGGGAGGCAGGGAATCCGGAACGCTATTCTGCCAGGACTCAGAAAACTGAGCGGCTGGCACAGGTAGCAGAGTCCGTGAGTGTTTCCGTGCCAGGCAGCCACGACCTGAAGAAGGCGCTGGGGCGAGCCCCAGGGACCGCGGACCCTCCAGGGACGGCGTGCAATGTGCAGATCCTGCTCCTCCCCGCCTCCCCAGCAGAGTGACCCTGGGAGAGTCACCTCACCTTGGCTCCAAACCTCTGAAGGCTCAGCAAACGAGTGAGGAAATAGGACGCAGGACAAGTCCTTACATAACTTATGCAAAATGAGACTCTCAGAGGTGAGGTGTTGGGCTCTGACCCTCAAACGTGACCTACTTCGATTTTCCTACTTTCACTAGAAGTCTCCCCCCGCCCGGCCGCATCGCTGCTGGAGGCAGGCATGGGACAGGCGGGTGTCCCCAAAGCAGAGGGGAAGGATTGTGAGAGCTGGTAACGCAAACCGTCATGAAGCACCCAGTGCACGCTGCTCTGCTCAAGGTGCAAGACTCGCGCCGTGAAACACACACAGATCCTCTGCCTTCGTGGGACTTCCTACCCAACGGAGACAAAATAAACATAAATAAACGCCCATAAACAGACACATAAACGTTAGTATTTCAGATTGTGAAAAGTGCCATGAAGGGGAAAAAATGCAGAGTGGAGAGTTCAGGAAGCCCTCTGCAGGATGCGGTGTGTGAAGTGAGTCTGGAGGGGTGGGCAGGGCTCAGCAGGGGAGGGAGCCACAGCGGCTCGGGGTGGGGGTGGGGGTGGGGGGTCGCCGAACGGCCAGGGGGTCTGGCAGGTGGAGGGAGAGCAGGAAGACATCAGGAGATGAAGCAGGTGAGACAGTACCAAGATGGGTCAGAAGCACCTTGAATGACACTGGGACTTAATCCCAAGGGCAATGGAGAGCCATGGAGTATTTTTTCAACTTGAGGTAAAAATACACACTGCATAACTATTAACTATTTAAAAATGTACAATAAAGTCATATTAAATATTAAATATATTAAATATATTTCTAGAACTTTTTTAAAGTTTATATATTTATTTTCAGAGAGACACAGAGCACGCAAGCAGGGGAGGGGCAGAGGAGAGGGGGGGAGAGAGAATCCCAAGCAGTCTCCACTCTGTCAGCACAGAGCCCGATGCAGGGCTCAAACTCACGAACCCCGAGATCATGACCTGAGCTGAAGTCAGACACTTAACCGACTGAGCCCCCGGGAGCCCCCAGAACTTTTTTCATCCCAAAAGGAACCCCTGGACCCATGAAGCAAGTCACTACCTACATTCCCTTCCCCCAGCCCCTGGCAATCACTAATCTAGTTTCTCTCTCTATGAATTTGTCTCTTCTGGATATTTCATAGAAATGAAATCATTTACAGGCACCTGGGTGGTTCAGTCGGTTAGGTGTCCAACTTTGGCTCAGATCATGATCTTGTGAATCACAAGTTCAAGCCCGGCATTGGGCTCTGTGCTGACAGCTCAGACCCTGGAACCTGCTTCAGATTCTGTGTCTCCCCCTCTCTGACCCTCCCCTGCTCACGCTGTCTCCCTCTCTCTCTGACCCTCCCCTGCTCATGCTCTGTCTCTCTCTGTCTCTCAAAAATAAATAAACATTAAAAAAAAGAATTCTGTGTCTCCCTCTCTCTCTGCCTCTCTCCTGCTTGCACTCTATCGCTCTGTCAAAAATAAAAACATTAAAAAAACAAAAAGAAATTAAAAAAAGAAATGAAATCATATAATATGTGGCTTTCTATGTCAGGCTCATTTCACTTAGTGAAGTGTTTCAAGGTTCACCCGTGCGGTAGCACGTATCATATTCCATTCCTTTTTATGGTTAAATAATATTCCGTTGTGAGGCATGGAGTGGTTTTGAGCAGGGGAGGGATGGAGTCAGATCTAAGGAAAATTCTTCCCGGCCATTGTGGGGGACGAACTGAAAGAGGAAGCTCGGAGTCTGGGAGAATGAGGAGGAGGCTGGCTGGGCCGCCCGGCTGGCTCCGTCAGGAGAGCCTGTGACTCCTGAACTCAGGGTCGTGAGAACGAGCCCCACGTTGGGTGTAGAGCCTACTTTACAAAAAAGGAGAAGGCTGGTGCTATGGTTCAGGGGCCTGAGTCGGGGGAGCGGGTGTGCTTGAGACATGGTGTAGGAGTGAGCAACAGTCTAAGGCAGAGGGAGAGGGAAAAGATGCTGATAACCTGGGTTCTTCTTCTTCTTCTTTTTTTAATGTTTATATTTTGGGAGAGAGACAAAGTGCACGCAGGGGAGGGTCAGAGAGAGAGGGAGACACAGAATCTGAAGCAGGCTCCAGGCTCTGAGCTGTCAGCACAGAGTGGACACGGGGCTCGAACCCACAAACCACTAGATCATGACCTGAGCCGAAGTTGGACATTTAACCGACTGAGCCACCCAGGCGCCCCTAACCTGGATTCTTCGCAAATCAGATCGGAGCTTCCCTGTAGGACTCACTCTCTGACCTCCTTCCCCACCACTGTCACAGGAGGAAAAAAATTTCTAAGAATGCAGAGGGGAGGGAGGAGGAAAGCTGAATCTATAACTACTTCGTACATCCCCTTTCAGAAAAGCCCTCCTTCCTTCTCATGGGAAGGAAGAGAATTTGCAGTTTCTGGGGACTTGTGCGGCTCAGCACTATTTTTACAAACACAGAAATGAATTCATCACAGCCCCTGACTCCAAGG